CCGCAGAGCAAGTATTACGTCACGCGGAGCGAGTGGCCGCGAGATGGCGCCTACCCGCCGTTCTGCGCCGGCGCCGCCATCTTGTACTCGAGCGACGTCGTGGCCAAGATGGACGCCGAGTCGCAGACGACGCCGTATTTCCGGCTTGATGACGTGTATGTGACGGCAGTGCTGCGGCAGCGGTTGGGTCTTAACATGAAAGTGTTCGAAGGAAAGCTGGAGTGGAGACCCAATGTCGTGCGTCGCTACATCGACGCGAAGACGAAACCGGACTTCCTGTTCGCACTGACGGCCGAGCCAACCCAAATCCTGTTGCTATGGCAACTGAGGCAAAGCGGCGCGGTATCGAAGGACGGTGGGCGTTGATCGTTTATGGTTTAAAATGAGCGACCGCGAGTGTGATTTCAAATCTTGCCGATTGCGAATTTTTTTACAAGCTGCGTTCACACGTATACACGGCCTAGCTGGTACCGTACTTAGTTGGTGCTAAGTTCGGGCTAAAATGCGTTCACACGAGATACACGAGATTCGAGGCTTAGCTAGCTAGGTATAATATAGACTGGTACCCGGTCGACAGTTCCACACGCTACCTCGACACCGTTAAAAATGTGGGGTATAAATAACATAACAACTCATATCTTTGCTAATAATCAACCAATTTTAATGATTTTGGTACCAATGGGTCCGTCTTAGAAATTGCTATCATAAAAAAATGTTAACCTACTTAAAAAGTCACTTAAGAGGTCACTAGAGGTCACTACAGATCAAAAGGTCATGTGACGGGCATTTTTCCTTAAACTGCAGTAACGATTGCCAAATATAAATAAAATGTTGCTACATAAGTTTGCTTATGTTTATTTTACCCTAGGGTAACCATATAAGGAGTCCAGTAAATATAAACTATTCATCTTGAAGGGCTAACCCATGGCAGCAAATGGAATAGTGAATGAAATCCGTGACATGATGACCATTCAAATTTCTGAGTAGGGGTAACTTGGGGTAACAAACTGCTAAATATCTTTGCCAATATTCTACCAAATTTAAAAGTTTTGGTACCAATAGATTCTTATTAAAATTTGCTAGCATACTGTGTTAGCACAAATATAATGTTAACCGCCTTAGAAAGTCACTACAGGTCAAAGCGGAAAAACATAAAAAAGATAAAACATACAAAATGAATTAATGTTCCAACATGAGCCACTGACTGGGATGGATAGCACATGTTGCTATAACCATGTGATATAACCACTACTCAAAATATACCACCACTCTATATAAATAGATTATCACATGATTTGGCATGGATATCAGTTTTAGGTGCGAGTTCAGAGTGCAATAACACGAACGAGTGAGCACATAAAACCATGTGATGATATATTTATTTCATTCTGGGTGCTATAAATGCGATTTTTGTAGCACTGTTATAGCTGATTGAGTGTGATATCCTGCACGAGCGTTGGTCCGACTCTGTCCAACAAAGCTGTTTGAGGTGGAACTTACACCAATGTCTGCAGATCAGCAGACTCTACCTAGCTGGAGTGGATTCAATGCCATGGTCCATTCATGTATACAAACCCTGACCAGTGTTGGTTACTGCCCAATAATAGATGGATCCCCAACAGAATCAAGTACAGTGTACACTGTCATGAAGAATGTGGAGGCCATGATGGCGAGCCTTGGCCAGGAAGACAGCGTCATAACGTTCGACCTCGCCATCTATGTCAAAGCCAAAGAAATACAATGGCGCCTACCAGAAGAGTTTGTCAACATGGTCATTCGCATGGGAGGCTTCCATGTAGCCATAAACTACCTATCCCTCCTGGGAAAGAAATATGATGGATCGGGAATGGAGGATCTACTTATCGAATCGGGAGTGTATGGTAGTGGCACCGCCTCACTGCTTCTAAAGGGCAAGTCCTACAACCGAGGAGTTCGTGCACATCGACTGATCATGGAAGCCATATTCCGTCTCCAGTGGCAAGCCCTTATCAAGTGGCTGTCAGACAATGATGGTGGTGGTGCAGATAAGGAAGCAGTGGCAGAGTACACCAGAGCCTGTAGAGAAGCTGTCCAGGAAGGCAAAGATGTCAAGGAAAACTTAGACAAGCTGACGCAGAACATGGTAGAGCTGGAACAGCAGTTCACCACATTCAAGAATGAGGCTCGCAGCAAATCTCACCTGTTCGCTTTCTGCGATGTTGCTATGGTCCAGCTGCTTCTCCAGTTCATCAAAGAGAGAGGACCAGTGACTAGCATCTACACCTGTCAGCAACTTCTGCCATGACACCCCACTTCTTCGCCATGGACAGGCCAAACTATTCCCGATGGCTACCTGTCTACATCACCGACATGAACCAGCTGTTGGAGACACATCCTGCCATTCACAAAGAGTTTGTCACTGGAAACCATGCTGTCAGCAGGCCTAGTCAGCCGTTTGCTCAGGTGTGGGCTGATATACCTAGACTCAACGACCAAGGGTGGCATCATCGGCATCAGTCAG